CTCTAAAATCATAAAAAAAAATTTATTGAACGAAAAAATAAAATTCATATTTCTTTATTAAATTTAAGAAATAATAAATTTACCAGTATAAATGTAGACATAATCTTCAGATGTATCAGGAACGATACTTTCTCTAAGTCCTTGTGAAATTTCTATAGCCAAACCAATGTCATTCATATCATTTTTAACATGAAAAGGAGGACAACCACTTGATAGCTCCCACAAAAGCATGCCAACACTATAAATGTCACTCTTTTCGTTTAGTACATATTTTTGCGATGTAAAAATTTTAGGGTCAATATAAGGAATAGCATTAAAAACTTTTGGCTGATTAATTTCTGCTACAATTCTTTTTGATAAACCAAAGCCTTTTAGTTTAATAACGCCTTGATGGATTAATATGTTGCCTGAATGCTATCAACATAAAAAAAAAAATCTATTATTAATTATTAAAAAGAAATGTTCACAATAAATAAAATTAATCACAAGGTAAGGTTACCAAATCACGATGTACAATTCCTTTGTCATGTAAACACGATACGGCACAAGCCAGCTGAAATGCCAAGTTATATTTATCTCCCCAAGAAAGCTTGTCAAAATTATTCTTCAAATAGTTTCTAAGCGTTCCGCCATCAGCATATTCCATTACTAACCAATAATTTTTCAATTCATTTTGATTTTCTAAATTTTCTTTTTTTTTTTACAAAACAAATAAAATATATTTGAGTTAAAATACAATATAAAACTTAATATAAAATTATAATTAACCTTATTGATATACCTTGGTATGATAATGTAATACCCAAATAGCGGATGATATTGTTATGATCAACCTTCCTTTGATGATCAAGCTAAATTATTACGATTATAATTTTTTAGCTTGGTATATGATTTTATACCAAATTGACCAAATAGATTGAAAATTTTTATTACCTCTCGAACTAGTTCTTTGACAATGGCATTGTTAAATTTATTAAAAGATTTTAACGCGAGAGGTTTTGAGTCTTTCCAATTTGAACGATAGACCTTTCCAAAACTGCCTTTACCTATCTCTTGAAAATTGCTAAAATGTTTGTATTCATGAAGTTTGATATTTTTTCTTAAAATATATTCTTCAAGCAAATTTATCGACTCATTTGAATTATTGTCAATTTGCATTTTGCTTTATTTTTTTTTTAGCGAGAAAGTGATAAATTTTGGAGAGAAGCAAATTTTGGTAGATCAATGATTAAAATATATATTAATTCGATGATCGTCAAGTAACACAACATTAAGGCAACAATATTAAACTAAATAACATTGTTTACATAAAATACAATCTCTATCAAAATACTGGTGTTTTGATATATAGGTTAATTGAAAAGCTGCGGCGGAAATGAAATTTTAATGGGGCGTAGAATTTTATTTTTTTTTTAAATAAAAGATTTTTCTTTTTTTAATGAGTTTTTTTTTTAATTTATTTTGCTAGATTAACAAGACTTTTTTTAAAAAAATTTATATAACTACGAGTTGAAATTCTTTTAAAAAAACAATTACTACGGAGCTGAAGATTTTTTATTTTTCACAAGAAGTTTATTTTTTTAAATAATAAAGTAAAATTAAACTAATATGAATGTTAATTTAGAATTACCAGATGTTGAATGTTAAAGGAAGTATACTTATAAACGATATGCTAAAACGTATACCTACTAGGGAACGGTAACCGTTCTAGTCCGAAGCATTACAGGAAATTTATTTCAATTTTTTTATTGTGTTCAAGTTTTGTTAAACATACATGATCAGCAACTATTTGTTGATCAATATGCAGGACAGAACGACATTGCATTGCTTTTCAGTAGTAATTGATTGTCCTCATGCTTCGGACAACAAGAAGCATTTTCAATAAAAATTATTCAATATTCATATGGAGGTACTAGAAACAACTCTCAAAGTGAAAAATTGTGATTTTTCCAAAGGTTAAAGTATCTAAAGGGTTATGACAATGTCTTGGTTATTTGTTACAAACTATATTTATTTGTAAGAGAAGGATTTAATTAAGAAATATCTGAGTAATTATGACGCTAGAATTATTTAATAAAATTAATTAATCAAGTGCTGCCTCAATGCCGGCGCTCTACATTTTCGCAATTTCAACTTTATTAATTTAAAATGTTAATCGCTAAAAGCTAATTAATTAAACATACTCATAAAAAATTAAAAATAAGAAAAATCGGGAAAATATTAAATATAGCGATGCTATAAAGTTATAACATAAAAAATAGTGAAATTAAAAATGACGAAAACTATAATATTGCAAGGTGAAAGAGAAGGAATTGGGAGAGTATTAGAAAAGAATCCTGCTAAAAATTCTAAGAGAAACCATTGTATATAATCCTTAAATATGATACACATGATAGTCAAGAGACTTATAATAATTTATAGTATAATTTCACGTCATATTTATTAAATTCCTAAATAATACAAAATGTAATAATAAGAAACCATAAAAATATAATATGAAAATATAAACCTAACAACATAATTAGTAAATACCCTAACACGTTTCATTTCCTCATATTTCCATTTCAATCATTCAAAACTACATGTAATAAAGTAGCTGAATTATTATATAATACATCGATTACATTCGCACCTAAAGTTGTGGGCAAACCTTATCACTTTTTGGCAAAAGTGACATCTTTCAATTTCGTTGGGTTTCGGTGGGTTTCGATGGGTTTCGAATAGTGTTTTTAATCGAATCAATTATTATTGTTATAACCGAACTTGTCAATTAATTGGTAACAATGTTTAGTTTCAATTAAAATTGATTTAACTTTCATTCCACGGTTGATCGATCAAAATTTACCACGGTTGATCGAAAAGACAAAATGGCATTAAATAAATTTTCGTGCAAATTCAAATTATCATTTAATTTGGATATCCTTAAATCATTTATTTTTCTTGTTATTTAATTGACTTTCTTTCAAAAATACAGTACATATAGGAGGCGGTCAGTAGAAAAGGGGGAAATCCACTTTTTAGTCAAAAATTTTTTATTGGTTCACTCTGCCGATCATGGTCGTGTGAACAAAACTTGCTTGATAACTAAATTACTCAAAATTTGTAGATTTCCACTTTTCTATTGACCGCCTCCCATATATTTGCATTTATGCGAAGATCAGTACATCAATTTAATATGAAAATAACGAATACGAATGTTGTTCTTTGACTAACTACAGAAACATAAAATATTCATCTAAACAAAACCAATAATAATAATTAGTGCATACTCAGATAACATTCATTAAGAAATAAGCTTGGCCTTATAAACTAGTTGGATGCTTATTAAGTATCAAAAAATGACGTAGAAGAAATATTTTAATTATTAATTTAAATTTGAATGCATATAAATTATTAATTCGAAATGAAAAAAAAAACAATAAATCAATTACGATTTAGAGATTTTGAAGCAATTGAACACCTTATTTGCGACAGATTTTGAAGGGTTCGCTTTCGAACTTCCTGGCTTTGCCAGGCTCACCCTTATCAAATCATAAATCACTTAATAACGCTCTGATAATCATTGATTCATTGATAGTATTTTTTATCGATGAGTTCCAATAAACAATAATGTTTAGGTCGATTCTAATCGATTTAATCGATAAACGTATAAATAATCGAATTTTATTTCGGAAGTAAAATTACATATGGCGCATTACAATTATTAAAATATTGAGTGTGGATGTTGTATTAGATGTTTAGTTACAAAATATATGAAAGTATGTAAAATTTTTTGACTAATATTCATGTCAAATGTATAAATTTTAACGTGAAATAATTTTTAAAGTTTTAGCATATCAAAATTTAAAATAATAATACATTATTTAGAGATATTTTTATAAATAATCTAACTATAACTCTAACCCTAATCCTTCAAACATTAATTGTGTTAATTATATATTATTATTTAATTCTATTTTATTAATTATTTTTTTTTAATCTAAATATTAAACTTTTTAAATTTAAATTATTTTTATATTTTTAATCCGCGAATTTTTGATTTTTTTTTTTTTTCTTTTTTTTTTTTTTTTTGAAAAATTTAATTAATTTTTGAAATTCGCAATTATTTTTATTTTTTTTTTGTTTAACTTTTTTTGATTCAATTTAAATTAAATACTCGCGAATTTTTTAAAAAATGTCATTTGTAATCGTACATTCTAATTTTTAAAAATTTTTTTTTTTAATTTTTTAATTTAATATTTTTTAATACTTTTTTAATTTGCAAATATATCCCTATGTTTTTAATTTAATTAATTTATTTATTTTTACCTAACTGGATCGATCGATTAATCTTAGAGTCGTTCTAGAGAAACGATAATCGCGATTAAATCAATTCTCAAATCGATACCAAATATCGAATTGCTTTAATTCGTGATTTCGCCGATCAATGACTAGGTAACACAATTTTATATGCAATTTTCAGCCACTATCTTTTCGAGAACAAAGTAGAATCACCACGTGCTTCAAATAAAAAGTGTTACTTGATGACTTTAACTTTTCGTTTTGAAAGTTTTAGTAGTGAGCATACTCAGATTGTTGCCTTTAACATATAGACCCTTTTCATAATTTCGATTTGTACATTGCAAATATTTCACAAATATTGTGGTCTAAATTTAATAAACACATTTAAAAAGATAAAATATTTCATTTTTTCTTATTTTTCAGCCTAGTTATATATAATTTTTGGTGTGATTACTTTTTATTAATGCCAATGTTAAATGATGTTTCAAGCTATTACAAAACAAAAATAGCACAATTGCTATTTTCTAGTCTCAACTAAATTAGAACATACGGACTCTAAAACAATAAACATATTGTGCAGTGATAATTTCGTTACTAAATTCCGGAAATTTAAAATGAAGATTCTCTTGCCAAAAACGAAGAAACAGACCGATCCATTTTACAGCTTGTATATTCGGTAAAATTTAAGAAGTTATTACAGTTTTCAACCTTTATTTATTTTATACAAAATTAGTTTCTAAAATAAATTTTTCAACGAACATCTTATACTTCTAGAAATCGTTCTGCATGTTTTTTTTAGATAAACTAGAAAATCTAGTAATCCAATTTTCAATAGTTTTTAAAGAAGGTATTACTTCAGTTGTAAGTTCCCCATTTTCTGCCATTTCTTTCAACCCATCCAACATATCCTTTGCAGTGTATCAATCACTAGGATCGCATTGTCCCACCATAAAAAAGTGAGTCAATGCCGCTACTACTTCTTTTGCTAGCCTTTTTCCACTACCTTTTTTTCCATATTTCTGATTGCATTTAAGTGCCCATCCAAGAGGTAGGTGGAATATGTTATTTCTATTATATTTTAGAAATTATTTGACCAATTAATTACTTTATATAATAGTAAAACCAATTTATTCACTCGTCTATATCCATTTTTGAAAAAATCTTATTTGAACTTACTCTATCAGTCATTTGTTTTATTTGAGAAACTTGCGTTTGATACTCCTTTTTAATCCAATCAACCAACTTCAATTGATTATTTATATTGGGTTGAACATAACCACCAATATCTCCTTCATCTTTGTCTTCATCTTCATCAAAAATCATGGCTTCTGATTCTTTTCTAACAGCCTTTTTAAGATCGGGCAAAGCAAGTAACAACTTATGTGATGAAATCTACTTTATTCGAATAGAAAAATTGTTAATTTCAGAATGAAGTTACTTTACTTTTAGCACCAAAAGCAAGATGATCATATTATATAATACAACCTTGGGATTGACTTCTACAAACTTTCTCCAGACAATAAATTTCGCAAGAATTTTACAAGATCTTTGTCCAATAAATGAACAATTACATTTTCATTATCACGCACTACTTTAAAAGGATCGGGCACTCTGGAGTTTATGTTAAAGGTGTCAGGTTTATTGACGGACCCGTTAATTGCATCAGGTAAGTTGACTTTTCCATCAGAAGTAACAGGTTCTTCAGCGTTGCTTTTAACGGTCAGTAAAAGAATTCATAATGCTTATAGTAATGTTAAGTGTTTGGAATAAATTTTTTAAAACTTTTTATTTTAAAAATAAATCAAAAAGTGATAACAATCCCGATTAAGGATTGTATTTCTAAAATGGTAAGAAAAAGAAAAGTTATCTTCCCTGCGGATTTGCGGATTTTTCTGAGCTAATTGACTCGGATTATATTCTAACCGAGCTGATATTTTAATTTCAACCGGTTAATTTTTTAACCAGTTAATCAAGTTAATTATTCCGAAGTGTAACGATATTATCATGCGAGTTACGTTCTCTGATGCATGTTTTAAGTAAAATATCAAGACGTGGACGAACATCGGATCAGCATATTATATTTTACTAATGGGTGCATCAAAAACAACACTTCGGACTTAACAATTGTTTCCATTTCTAGTCAACTTGGATTAGATAAATTAAAAAAAATAAATACAAGATTCTTTGCGCAATCATATCATCTGTGTAAATATTATATTCGGGTTCAGGTATGGGTTATGACGGGTAGATAGAAAACCGGTACGGTACGATTCGCCAGACCAGTACGGTACGATTATGCAGATCTGTATTTTTTTCGCGGGAAATTTGAATCGTACCGTACCGTACTGGTCCTATATATAAAGCATTATTATAGAACCAGTACGGTACGGTACGAATTTAGAAAATTGGTTCTGGTTCGTACTGCATCATTATTAGATCTTAAAGTTTATATTTCTGACATAAAGTTCAACGAATTTTGATATCATTATATCACATTTTACTAATTAAATGCCATATCCGCGGAAATCTTTTTTTTTATTTTTATTTTAATTTTTTTTATTCTTTTATTTATTTTTTGAAAAAAACGAAAAAGAAAAAAAAATCTAAAATAAAAAAAGAAAAAGAAAAAAGAAAAAAGAAACGAATTGCAAAAAAAAATATGAAAAAATCAAATAAATAAAATGAAAACGAAAGTATAGAAATGAAATAAAAAATAAAAATTAATAAGAAAAAACTAAAAAAAAAAAAATAAATAAATGAATGAACGAAAAAAGTAAATGAAAAAAATTATAAAAAAAAACAATGAAATGAAAAAAAAAAGTAAAAATAAAAAAATAAAAAAAAAAATGAAATACAAAATTAAATATAAATACAAAAAGAATAAAAAAAAAAAGGAAACTAAAACGGAACTAAACAAAAAAAAATAAATAAATAAATAAAAAGTCCGGTGGGAGGGGAATAAAAATAAAAAAAAAAATAGATTAAAAAAAAATAAAAATAAAATAAAAAGTCCGGTAGAAGGGAAATAAAATTAATTAAAAAAAAAAATAAAATAAAATAAAATAATAAGTCCGGGGGAATTTAAAAAAAAATATAATAAAATATAAAATAAAGAAAAAAAGAAAAAAATCAATTAAAAAAATATATATACTGGGAAGGAATTTAAATTTAAAAAAAAAGAAAATTAAAATATATTAGATAAAAAAAAAAAAAGAAAAAAATACAAAAATACGAAATTGACATCGTACCATACCGTACTGGTCATATAATAAGGCTTAGTTATTATAGGACCAGTACGGTACGATCCAAATTTCGCGAAAAAATACTGATCTGCATAATCGTACCGTACTGGTCTGGCGAATCGTACTGTACCGGTTTTCTATCTACCCGGTTATGACTCAGGTACTAGTTCAGGTACAGGTTCATGACGTAGCTCAGACTCGGGTTTTTAGAATTTAGCATCACGTGTATTGTTTCACTGAACAAAAACTACCTATCACCCAAAATTAAAAATATATTGTTTAATAGTTCTTTATCTACATATAGTATGCTTATTTTTTTTTTTATAATAAAATGTTACTTTTAGTAAAGAAAACATTTTATCACAAATCTTTTTCTTAATTATGTAATACCGAAAGAAATAAAAAAAAATTACACTAGTTAAATATAAAACTTTACGTCAAACGATATTCAATCAACAATTGACATATCAAAATAGATTGATTATTATTATTTTTTTTTTACATATACTAGCAGTTGCCCGGTGCATCGCACCGAGATCTATATGGATTTGTAGTTCAGGGTTCAGAACATCAGGCTAATGTGATTGCAACATCAAATCAATTTAATTATGTATTAAATGGTGAAGCCGTGATCCGTGACTGTGCTAAAATTAAGTCATGTGATCTAAATGATCGACATAGTTGACGAAGTTGACGAA